GGAGGAGGAGGACGAAGGGTATTCATCTGTCTCTGGAGTGCAGGTTACCGTATGTTAGTAATGAGTCATCCTCCATCCTCTTTGAGACGCACCCTCCCCTACTTTGGGCATGATTAAGAAGTAAAATTAGTTAGAAATATAGAAAATACAAGGGAAAGCTTTTTCAACATGACCTATTTTTAAATGAGAAACATCACAAAGTTAATGTACACATTCACTGATGTCAACAACGGACCCAATTATGACAATTAAATATTGTCATATTGGTGATTGGACTTGACAGGTTATGTGTGACTTAATCACCTCTAAAGGATTTTACACCTAAAATCATGAAATTTGCCAGCCTTGGAGGCTTGTCACATAGGAAGCAAAGGTGGAGGTCAATGAGGTTGGCGTGGAGAGAGGCTATTAACGTCCAGATATGCTACATTTGCATCACCACACTGACCAATTCAACTGATACACAATGCTCTGCAGACGTAGTTAAGTATTGAGATAAGTCATTTGTCATTCAATCCTACCATCTTTTGTATTTATTTTAGGTTGAATTGAGAACTGAGTGTCATATAAATGTGACGCTGATGACACATCATTTAAAATGGTCAATCCTTCTCCATCAGCTCTTCATAAACTTTTTTACTAGAGGGATAACTTGAATACAAAAAAGCTTCGGCATCTGAGCATTTTATTTTATTTTTATTTTATTGCAGGTAAACCGGTCACACTTACCTTCAGGTTAGGTCATCGTCTCATGGAGAGACCTCATGTTTTACAATTTTTGGCTTTGTTAGACTATTGCCTCTTTCAACCACTTATTTTTCTCACCCATTTATCACATACTTCTACATTTTAGGCCACCTGCTATCATCCTGGACATTAGTCAGTTGGCAACCACATAACATTTAACTAAGGCCTCGATGAAGTTAACTCCATTTAGTACAGAGGCTGCATGATTGGAATATACCTAATTACGATGCCACTAATCCTCCTTCAGAGATGTCATTATAGCTACGAAATAATCAAACCCAGACATGGTAAAGGAAAAGTCCAACAGCTGGGACTGTCTGACATTCTTGCTTCATGCATTATTTTCGATCTCGTTCCCTGCCCTTCATTGGCCAAATTCCCGCACCAGCAGGCCTTTAATGTGCAGCTAACCGCCATTAAGTCAAGGACATTTAAAGTGCCATAAAGACGTGAGGATTTGATCCTCCTATTTCTCCAGCCTCAGCAGCACTTAGCCAGCAGTGACTTGGTCACACGCTTCACACCTCATATAACACCAATACAAGTTTTGTCGTCTGCTGCACTCCAGATTGAAAGACTAGACAGGAATAGAGCTCCCACGTATAAATACCACTTCATAATTAACAGCTTGAAAAGACGGGCACTTGCGCCTGTGTGTGTGGGTAGATGTAATCGACTCGACTTTCTAGGCAATGCCTCTGGCTGAGTAGGAACAATTTTTTATCCAAGAATGGCTTATTACATGCTCGTTATACTCCTCTGAAAAGCGAATTTCTCATGTGGG